TGCCACAGCCCTAGCAGCCTGCTTCCATGCTGCATGCCTGCATTAAGTGCTCCTGTTTGCCAGCAGCAACTTTGCTGCACTGGGAACTACGCTCTCTGAAAAGCGGGTAGCACCGTGACAAGGTGTTCAAACGCCATTAACCTACAGCCTTGATGAGCCCTAACAACAGGAGGTGTGCTGCTCATTGATGGACGCCTGCCAACAGCAGCCTCCAGCAGAACGCAGGCAGGTTGGGCACGAAGTGAGGCCCAAACACTTTGCTTGGCCAACCAAGCAAAGCACCAAGCAAAACAGCCAACACCAGGTCACAGCCTGATGTAAGTGGACACCGAAGCACAGCAGGTGGGGGAATCAATTCGCCCCGGTGCCCCAGCTGCAAACAGAAACAGCAGTTTCTGCAGTTGTGGGTAAGTGCTCCTGGGCTAGCTTCTGACACAGGGAGAACGATCTGATGCTGCCTGCTTTCTCCAGCATCTCCCCCTGCTCTCAGAGTAATGCTGCAGCCCCATGCAGCACCCACGTTCCCCCCTAGGGGCCGGGCTGTGCTCGTGCCCTTTGCACCACTTGCTCCATGTTTTTAAATGTCAGGAAATGTGAACATGAGAATAAAAATGCGCTTCTGTGGTAACTGCTCATGCTGGTCCCGGTCTAGGAAGTTAACATCTGGAGCAGTGGGCAACAACAGAAGTGTTCAGCTCCATCCCCCGCAGAGACTTACCATGTGGGCAAACAATGTCTTCATTAAAATTTAACTCTTCTTTCTTCTCTCTCTTCTTCTTATTTGCTCCATCTAATTAAAAAATAAAATAAAATAAAAATAAGAAGATTGCGCCATTTTTCTCTGAAAGAAAGGGGAAACGTTTGGGGGAAGAAGCCTGGTTTCCCTTCAGCAGTTCTCAGCCCAGGGGAAACCTGGGAAGCATTATTCTGTTAATCTCCAACACATGGGCCTGTGTGCCTGCAGGCCAGGCTGCGTGGCACATAGGAGTGCTTAGGAGTGCTTTGAAGTGCGTGGAGCACAAGAGCATCCTTTGTGAGATGACAAAGGGTGCATTTGTTCCAGCTGCAGCACCGCAGGGATTTGCTGCTCAGAGCTAACCCCAACCTCTAGGTGAGAGCGGAGCATCACAGCCCGGTCTGCTCTGCTCCATGCTCTGATATCCAGCACGGCATTGCTACACTGGAGTTTAGAACTGCTCTGCAGACAGAAGCATTGGCCATCAAATAGGAGCAACAGAAAAAACAGCAATGTAACTGTTTGCAGCAGTGTGACTAAGGAGCAAGCTGGCTTGTGAGCAGTTACAGTGGACTTCTGGGAGGTGCAGCCTGCTCTGAGATCAAGGTGACCCACGGAACAGGACGTGGGACAGCCCCTCAGCTGCTGACACGGGTGAGAGAAGTGCCCTTTTCTCAGTGGAGGCCACCAGCCCCAGCAGCAGCCTGCAGATAGCATCACTGCAGTATCTGATGCTCTCGGAGCCTTCCAGCCTGACATCAATGCAATTAGCTGATCGTCTCTACTTCCATTCAAATGAGCTCCTTGCCCTCCGTTATGAAAGGAAAAAAGCTCAAAGGGAACCCAATTTCTAAGGGTTTAGAGAACAGAAGGCAAATAAAAATCCCCCCACGTCATCACAAACATATGATACAGGGATAGAAGAGAATCCAATTCATGATATTTTTTTTCTAAACCGTGTTTTGCCAGTGCTGCTCCACCAGCTGTGCTGTTTCATCCGTAGGCCTTCGCAGTAAACATCCCCAGGATAATTTTCATGTTTCTTCCTCCCCTGCGCACTCTCATTCAGATAAAAGTAGATGAAAAGATCATGTGTCTGGGGTGGTAATCGTACACAGCTCTGTAAAGCTGCTCATTACCTCATCTTCTTCTCTGGGTACGAAGATCACCCAGCAGTTTTGAAGCTTATCAAATAAAAAGCTCCTGAAATTAGGGCCGTGTGATATCAAGCCACCCAAAGTGCCTTCCCTCCCTGCTCATAAAAGGGAAGTAAAACAACACACAGAACACCTGACGTGTCTTTTGTTCAGGGGATCAGTCAGAGCTGGCGGAGCTCTACGGCAGCAGAACTACCTTTGTTTGGTGCATTTCCACTCAGCTTTCCATTGCTGTGCTCTGCGCCTTCGTCTTGCTCATTTAATTGCTCCAGAGCCAACTGACGCCAGCTCCGCAAGGACGCCTTTCCAACCCAAAACCCATCGCTCCTGCGGGGAGACAGCAGCGTCAGCAATGCCAGTCACAGCCCAAATGGAAAAAGCTCGAGAAAAAACTACTTGGGCATTGATTAGCACAGCTAAAAACATCTTTGGCGACGTCAGAAGCACCAGGACTCACGTACCCCTTGACTGTTATCTTCAGCAAGTTGGTGACGGTTTTGTAGTCTTCATTTAGCTGGTTTTTCAGACGCAGGATTCGACACCTTTCTACCACACAGTCCTTGCAAAGTGCTTTGACTGGGATGGGGGAGAAAAAAAACACTGTGTTATACTGCAGCACAGGCAGCTGAGCATCTAGCTGGTTTGAGAGCTCACGTGGAAGGCATGCACACCACGGTCACCCTGCATCACAACCTGAGGGGCGGCATGTAAGCAGGGGAACTGCCGTGGTTCAACTCCTTTGCTGAGGTGCTGCCTGTTCCACCAGCTTGTTGGTACCAGAACGCAGAGAGCTGCGAGGGAGCTTGCACTGACACATGGATGTGGGAGTCAGAAGGGGGGGCTGAGGTTTGCACCCCAAAGCTGTGTCACTGCTCTTCTGTGGTACAGAGGTGCCGTGCAGACACCTCCAAGGTGCCATCGTGGGATGAGAGGGCTCCCTGCCACCCAGCTCAGGGAACTCCTGCAAGCAACCAGCTAACAGCCCAGAAAAGCTCCAAACCTCCTGTGATACTGCGCAGAACCAGGAGCAGCCCTGCATATGGGCTTACTCCTCGGGATGGGAGCAGGGGTCACACTCACATCCTTTCCTCTCCGTCATTCTCAATGAAGAAAATGCAGGTGATTTTCCAGCTGACTGAGAACGGCTGCCCTGTTTTCAGAAAGCCTGCCTGCATCATGGTATGTTCTGCTGGCTGCATTTCTTCCCTATAAGTGCCTAACAGGAGCTAAGCTAATTTGGTCTCAGTGAGAGCTATTGAGCTCCTTTACAAAGGGAACCAAGCCTGGAGCTCAGTTCAGAGATGCCCAGGGACTGCAGAGCCAGCCCTGCCCACAAATCACATGCACGGCAGATGTGTGCAGCACCAGCATGTTCACTGACGGGTGTGCGCTCCCAGCGGGTGAGGCAGCCCAGGACTGGCTGGGGTGGGTGGGGGTGAGGGGACAGAGATTTTCTTATCAGGCTTTAAAAAACATTTCGAAGAGTCTGGGGGGTGACACATGCAAGTTATGCTATTTCAGAGAATTCACTTTGTTGCTTTCTCAGGAATTCCTCTGTGCACAGCTCTCCCAGGGCAGAGCAGGATTCAGGCCTGAAACCAGCCCTGCAATCAGACTAACTGTACTTATTTGGACGCTAATATAATCGATTAAAAAAAAAAAAAAAAAAAAACAACAACAACAACATGAAGCACTCGGAAATGGCAGCACAGAAATAAAGTTATGGTAA